AAAAAAAAAAAGGAGATAAGAAGTGAGACCTGGGGGAAAGACTCATCTGATACTTCTTGAACGGAAACGCTCCTCGAGAAACGCAAGGCAGCCATCCTTGTGGGCACGGGCCTTGTGACTGGGCACCGGGACTCACTCAGCAAACGTTTACAAGGCACCTAGCATGTGCCAGGGATGTGCCCGGTCACTTCCAGCAACTTCTAATGCAAAAAACGCAGCACGGAAACATCCTCGTCGCGTTTAGAGCAGCCACGTGAACAGATTTTTCAGATGAGATGGGAACGAATTACCCAGTTTCACGGTTTACTCAAAAGGCCGGGCAACGGCCCAGGGGGCAGAGCCCGCCCAGGGGGGCAGAGCCGGCCCAGGGCCAGCGCGGAGCACAGGGCGCCTTGCCCACGAACATCTAGTTGATGAATGGAACCAGTTTCTAGGAGCCGAATTTGGTGAAACGCGCTCTTCGGAGCGCACTGACTTTCGGGAGGAGAAGGAAGGGTGTCGAGGGGGCCGGGCTCACCTGAGCTTGTTCTTGAGGGAGCTGACCTCGCGGTTCATGGCGTCGGCCGTCTCGGTGGCGTCTTCCAGCTCACGCTGCAGTTTCCGGCGGGAGGCGTTGGCCCGCTGGGCCTCCTCCTCCGCCTCCTCCAGCTGCCGCTTGAGCTGCTTCAGGCGGGTGGATGCCTTGTCAGCCTGCAGAGACGTGTGGCCGGTGGCCCCGGTTAGGGGCTCTGATGCGGGAGGCCGGGGGACCCCTCACCAGCCACGACCCGGGCGGCCCCGCGCGCAAACACACCTGGTCCTTGAACTGCTCGGCGTTCCTCCGCTCGTCATCCACCTGCAGCAACACGTCCTTGAGCTTCTTCTCGGCCCGACGCACCTGCTTGCAGGCCGCCTGGCGCTCCCTGCGAGGCACAGACGCAGCGGCTCAGGGACCCTCCCTTCGAGGGTCCAGCCACACGCCACCAGCTGGACAACCTGTTCTGGGGCCTCGTGGGCATTTCCTCCCCAGGGAGGCCCTGAGGCCGAGGCGGGCCACCTCCACCGAACACCCCAGGTCCCCTAAGGGAGGTGCCGTGACCAGCCCCCTTTCACAGATGAGGAAACAGGCTCAGGGAGGGAGGTGACATAGTCCAAAGAGCAGATGTGGAGCCAGTAAAGGGGAATTGAGATGTGGGGCCCAGTGTGACACCCCCCCCCAGTACCTCCAAAGAAGCCTCAGTCTCGCTGAGCCCACAGGAACCCCCACCTGCGTCTGAGTCAGCCCCCAGACAGCTGTCAAAACCCCCGCCGTGGAGGTGGCCCTCAGGCTCCGACCCCGACCCCGTGAGGCCCCCGCGGGTCGCTGCAGGAGCCGAGCAGGGGCACCTACTTGGTCTCGTTGTCCAGCTGCTCCTCCAGCTGTGCGATCTTGGCCTCGAGGGCGGCGATGGAAGCCTTGTATTTGGACTTGACAGTGCCCTCCATCTCCTGCAACTTGACCTTGAGCTCCTTGTTCTGGCGCTCCAGCTGCTGCCGCGCATTCTCGTTTTTCTGGGCGTGGCTGCGCTCGAGGTTCAGGTCGGTGTTGATCTGGTCGATCTGCGGGAAGGAGGGCCGGTGACCCGAGGAAGGCTGGGGACCCTGGCTGGGGCACACGTGAGGCCGCTGGGTCCCGAGGGGCCCCTGATAACACCAGCCCTGGGGCCGGCAAGCTCTGGGTCTTCCCAGGAGAGGGAGCTCCTCCAGAGCCAGGGTCCAGGACGTGCTCCCCTAAGCACCGCGAGCGCTCGGCTTCCGCCAGCCGCCGTCTGGGAGGAGCGGAGCCTTGTCTGGAAGGAATGCCCGCGCAGCCCCGGCCCCCGCCCACCTGCAGGTTCGCCTTCTTCAGCCGGTCGTTCACCAGCTCCGTGTTGCCCTGCTCCTCCTCCAGCTCCTCCTCCAGCTGGGCGATGCGGGCCTCCAGGCGCCGCTTCTCCTCCAAGGCCAGGGCTCTGGGCGAGGGCAGGGAGGAGTGAGAAGGGGCCTGTCCCAGAGGCGGGACACCCCCAGCCCCCAGCCGAACACGCCACGCCACGGCTCACCCTTTGCCGCTGCTGTTGGCAATCTCGTCGGCCAGCTCGTCCCGCTCCTGCTGGGCCTGGCGCTTCGCACGCTCGGCAGCTGCCAGTTCCTGCCACGGGGACCCAGACGGTGACCCCCCGGGGCGGCCCAGAGCCCCGAGAGCCCCTCCTCCCTTTCCTGGTACTCTGCAAGCGCCACGCTCCCGGAATCCTGGCCCTTCCTCTCGACCCCCCGCCCCCCCCCAGGCCTGCCTCTTCCACGAAGCCCTTCCTCATGAGCCCCTCTAACTCACAGGGCTGATTCCTTCCTCTCAGACCATAGCTTAGGCACCACATGTTTGCAAAGCCCCTACGTGTAAGTGTTAGGAACCAAGCCATATGCTGGGGATGGAAATAAAAAACCGTCCTGCCCTAACGGATATGCTGGTTCCTCTGTGTTCTGGGGAGACCAGAAGTCGGGGGGATAAGGCAGGGATGTAATTAGGGTGAGAGCATGGGGGCTCTGAAAGCCTCAACAGAGACCCACACGTGACCTCAGAGGGAGGGATCAGCCCAGGCCCAGGCAGGAGAGCACAGCCCTCAGGTGAGACTGGACACCGGGCCCGGGTAGGGGCACCGGGCAGCCAGTCGGCTCACGGTACAGGAGACTGCCTAGGGCCGCCAGAAGGTTTTCACAATATGCCCCTCGCGTGTGACCAACAAGGCTGGCAGGTGGGGGGCATGCCGCGCACCAGCGCTGGAGAAGGACCCTCCTTCCAGGTGCCAACTCCCACCAGGAGGTGACGATTACCACCAAGCCTCATCTCATGCAAGGGAGCTGGCCCCAAATGGTGACAATTTAATTCACACACACGTTTTACTCACACGAGGGAGCCTTGCTGCTTAACGAAACCCCTCGGGGATTTCCTTCATAAAGCAAACCCCCCCCACCCCCACCCCATTGCCGGAGTTGGGCTAGTTCCTGGCCAGCAGCGCCCGGTGTGGGGGGAGGGGGGGCGGGTGCCCAGGCTGGCTGGACGGAGGCCCTCCGCTGCCCCCTGCTGGCCAGAGGGCAGCGTCCCCCCGAGTGCCCCCCGAGTGCCATCCTCGCGGCCTGCCCACCTCCTGCAGCTGGATCATCTCGGCCTCCATACTCTTTAGCTTCTTCTCGTTCTCCTTGGCCTGTGCCAGGATCTCCTCGCGGGAGGTGCGCGTGTCTTCCAGCTCCCGTACGTAGTCCTTCATCTGGGCCTGTGGTGGGCAAGGGAGGCTTGGCACCCACCGCCACAGCTGCCAGCCCCCCCACCCTGCGCACGGACACCCTACCCACAGGCACCGGAGGCTGGTTCTCGGCCTGACGCCGTATTTAACCAACTCAACAGCGATAAGGACAAATGTTTCTTTACCCTGTGTCCTTTTTACACTTTCGTGACCACTAAGGTTACAGGGCATGGTTTTGGCAGTGTTAGTCACTGGTTACACATTAGTTCGAGCTGCTGTCTGGGTTTCGCCTTCCACGACTTCCTGTGGACTCGAGTGGGGCGCTCTGGAGCTGTCCCCCCGTGCCACCCACCGCTCTAGGTCAACGCCCACCTGCCAGGTCAGCCCCGGCCAGAGGTAGAAACCCATTTCCTCTGTTCTTCTCCTGTGATTTAAACTCTAAAGATCTTGGTCAAATAGGGTTTTGTTTTGTCTTTTTTCTGTTTTCTTTTCCCCTTTCTGCAGATAAATCCCAAATTGGGATTCTCTAGGCCAGATGGTACCAGGTGGAACCACCACCAGCAACGAGAGCATCTGGGCCCTACGACCTCGCCCACCGACACCGAATTTGGTCTTCCTGTTGCTGGTTTTCTGGGTGTGATGTGGCTTCTCAAGGATGTTTTTTACGATTTATTATCTTTAACACTTATTTTTTTAAATTTTTTTTTTAACGTTTGTTTATTTTTGAGAGAGACAGAAACAAAGCTTGAGCGGGGGAGGGGCAGAGAGAGAAGGAGACACAGAATCCGAAGCAGGCTCCAGGCTCCGAGCTGTCAGCACAGAGACCGATGCGGGGCTCGAACCCACAAACCGCGAGATCGTGACCTGAGCTGAAGTCGGACGCCCAACCGACTGAGCCACCCAGGCGCCCCTCTTTAACACTTATCTTGATCAACACTGAGTCACATACAGAAGTGCTCAATCACTATATCATATACCTGAAACTAACATAACTCTGTACGTTAACCACACTGAATTTATCGTAAGAATAAAATTAAGGGGCGCCCAGCTGGCTCAGTCAGTTAAGCGTCCGACTTTGGCTCAGGTCATGATCTCCCAGTTTGTGAGTTTGAGCCCCACATCGGGCTCTGTGCTGACAGCTCAGAGCCTGGGAGCATGCTTCAGATTCTGTGTCTCCCTCTCTCTCTCTCTCAAAAATAAACATTAAAAAATTTTTTGAATAAAATTAAAATTAAAAACATGTAAGCGAGTAAAACTTGTGAACTTTAATCACTGGTGAGAACTCTCCAAGTATGTGTTCTGTGCTCTGTGCTGCATGTAGGGTTCCGTGCTCAGGTCGGAACCTTCCATCGCCGTCCCCCAAGGCTGGATTGGGTGGTTACGTGGGCCAGATCTGGTTTACTCTGGAAATCTGCCACCAGGTGACTATTTTCCTAACGTCATTGAGTTTCCAGGTTTACGTGGGTTTCTTTGTTTAATGGGCGCAAAGCCTACGATCTTAATGCAAGTTTGCTTCTGTTTTGCTTCCACTTGACCCCTGGGTCTGAGTCCCCACCCGTGAGATGGGGCTAAGGGCACGCGGGTCCTTCCTCAGAGAGGGGAAGGCGGTGCCCCTCGGCACTCAGCAGCGCCCCACTAGTGTCCCAGACCCCTGCGAGGCCAGAGCCGCGGGGGCAGCCGCGCCCAGCGTGGCCCGGCCTGACCTCACCTGCAGCTTCCGCAGCTGCTTGATGGCCTCGTCCCGGTTCTTGTTGGCTGAGTCGACGTGGGCCTCCAGGTCTTTCAGGTCCATCTCCAGCTTCTTCCGAGCGGCCACCGCCATCGAGCGCTGCTTCTTCTCGTCCTCCAGCTCTGCCTCCACCTCCCGCACCTGGGGGACGGGAGGGCGGTTCGGGCGGCTGCACCAGCCCCCAAGCCCTGCTCCACTCCGTGCCTGGGGGGGCTACTTGGGGCCAAGGACGATTACTGACCGAGAGGGTCCCTGACCCCGGTGACAGTGGGCTGGGGCGCAAGGACGTGGGAGGGGTGGACAAGGAGCCCAAGACAGCCCGGGGAGAGGAAGGAGAAAGGAAGCCGACCGGAAACTGGGGTGCGAGGGGGGCGCCCCTGGCCACCTCTGCCCGGGGCAAGGGCAGTGGGAGGACCGTCCGCACCTGTCTGACCAGCTGCTTCTTCTTCTCCTCGCTCTGCTCGTCGCGGCCCTGCAGGTCCCGCTCGAACTGGGCCTTCATGGCCTGCAGGTTGACCTCGAGCCGCAGCTTGGCGTCCTCGGTGGCCTGCAGCTCGTCCTCCAGCTCCTCCAGCTGGGTCTTCATCTCCTCCACCTGCTGCTCCAGGGCCCGCTTGGACTTCTCCAGCTCGTGGACCTGCCCCCCCGCCCCAAGGGGACCACATCAGAAGCGGAGGGATGAGGCCTCTGGCCTCGGTGTCCGCTCAGCCCCTCTCCCCCCCCCCGCCACCACAGGCCGGCCACCAGCTCGGTGCTCACGCTCTTGCCGACGTCGTCCTTGGAACTCATGAGGTCCTCCATCTCTGTGCGGAACTGCTTGTTGAGCCGCTCCAGCTCTGCCTTCTGCTCCACGGCCTCCTCCAGGGCCCGGGCCAGCGACAGCGCCTTGGTCTCCTTCTCCCGGGCCTCCGCCTCCGCCCGGTCGCGCTCCTCCGCGTACTTGGCAGAGATGGTCTTCTCCTCGGCCAGCAGCTGGGGGAGAGGTGGTCACGGTTGAGCGTGTGGACCTCAGGCGGGCAAAGCACGCGGACCCAAACTCCTTGGGGGATGAGGGCCCCAGGCGCTGGTCCGAGGGGAGGGGACCGCGAAGAGCAGGCACAGGCCACCGCTTCTGAGCGTGGCGCGTGCCGTGCGGGGTGTCCTTGGAACCAGAGCCGGGCAGAGATCACCTCTGCCGGTGCGCTCTGAAGTCTGCTTGCAGCATTGACCATTTACTAATCGTGGTCCTGCAGGTCCCATGGTGCCCCTTCCGTGGGAACCCACGGGACACCTTCCCCTCTCAGAACCAGAAAAGGCTCTGCTCTCCTTAACAACCGGTCGGCGCTTCCCCTAAAAAGGAGGTCGGTCTGGCTGCTGAGAGGCCCAGATCCCACCTGTGCCCCTCATGAAGGATGCCCGGGCAAGTTCAAGTTTCCGGTGTCCACCCTCCACGTGGGCCCACCCACGGCCAGACCTTATTTCCCCACCTTCCTGTTCCCTCTGCCCCAACACCTCTTTGTCCCCGACCCGCTCCTTAAAGGGCCAGACAGTGAATGCGTGAGACGCTGCAGGACTCTGTGAAACCACGAAAGCAGCCGGAGACACCGGCACGTGAGGGAACGTGGCAAGGTCTAACGCACTTTTGCCCACGGCAACAAGTGCAGGGCCGTACCCGGCCGGTTGGGCCGATGCCGGACTTACTGTTTTTCTATCCTATCCCACCATCCGTGTCTCTGTAAGCTGCCTCAGAGTATTTGGAAGGAGACAGAGATACGACACATAAATAAAAACCCTAAACAACAGGGGCACCCGGCTGGCTCAGTCGGTAAGACACGTGACTCTTGATCTTGGGATCATGAGTTCGAGCCCCACGTCGGGGGCAGAGTTTACTTAAAAAGAAAAAACATCCCCACTCATTGTAAAAAGGGCTCATCATAGGCCATTTGAAAGATGTAAGGAACCAGAAAGGGGAAGAGACGCCCTCCCCGAGGGGGACCACTGAGGCCCTCGCACGCAAGGCCATGCTGTGCGGCACGTACCTGGTCGAACTTCTTCTGCTTCTTCTCCAGGTTGGAGGCGGTCTGGCGCTGGTGATCCAGGTCCACGAGCAGGTCATCCAGCTCCTGCTGTAGCCGCGTCTTCGTCTTCTCCAGCTTGTCATAGGCGGCCGCCTTCTCCTCGTAGCGCTGGCTCAGCCCCTCTAAGTCCTTCTGGAGCTTCCTCTTGGCTTCCTCCGCTATCTCCAGGCACCCCACGCCGTCCTCCATTTTCTTCTTCACGTCCGTCATCTGGACAGGAGCACAGACTTAGGGAGGTAGCCACCCCGTGCCCGGGACGGCGGCTTGCCTGCTACCTCATGGACGGAGGCCCAGGCACGGGGACGCCCCTCTTCCACCGGGGCGAGAAACGGGGTTTCCGCAGAGGGCCTCTGCCTAGAGTGGGCGGGCCAGGGGGAGGCCTCCCAGTCGTGACGAACACCAAGCCTTATTTTACAGAGACGGGCCAGAGGGGAGGCTCCTCCATCGGCCTCTCCCAACGGACACAGTCTGCGGGAGGCAGGAGTGCCACAGACACCCGTCCCACAGCCCCTCCCTGCTCCGGGAGACACAGCTGCCGCCCCGTACGTGACAGCTACTCCCACCCAGACTGTCACACGGGCTCCGGGCCCACCCCGAGGAGGTGGGGCGGGTCTCCTGGCCCAGCACACTGAAGTCCCAAGACGGGACGTAGAACAGGGCTCTTGACCTAGTCTTGGTTGCGGGCGCTTTGATGGTCTAGAAAAAAACTACGGCGTCCTTCTTAGAACGATGCTTTAATACGCATAAGACGTATAGGATCACCAAGCAAACCGATACGGAAAAATGCGGTTACCGGGTGCTTTTTTAAGCCGTGATACAGTAACCCACGTGCTGCCCTAGTAGCACGTCTAATACCAGCTCCTGAAGTGGCGGGGAGCACGAGGACACCCCCAAAGCCCCGCCTCAGCTCCGACGCGGTGACCGGCAGTTTCTATGGAACCCCAGCACCGCTGCGGTCATGGCTTACTGCCTGTATTCCTATCGGAAGAAAACGCTAAACATCAGCCAGATTGGTGGCCAGACAGATGTGACGTCGCCTCTAGCCAAGTTCACGGATCCCTGAATTCTGCCTGGGTACCCCTGGCTAGGAGCTCGGGCCGGGGAGGGTGCCTGGCTCCGGACGGGCCTGAGGTCCAAATGTGCAGGCGGGTGCCCCGCCGGAAACCACCCCTCCCCCCACCCCCCCAAGCCTGCAGAATCCAGCCAGTTTCCCTGGGTCATCCGTGCGGCCTGGGGCATGGAGGGAGAGTCGGCACTGAACCTGGGCGTGGAGGGTGGCGATCTGCTTCTCCAGGTTCCGCTTGGCCTCCTCCTCCTCTTCCAGCTGCTCCTTGAAGGAGTTCTTCTCATCTTCCATCTGCTTCAGCTTGGTGCTCAGGCCCAGCTTCTGCCGGTTCTCCTCCTGCAGCAGCTCCTACACCAAGGACGAGCGGGGGGCAGGGGCTCAGGAGGCGCCGAGTCAGAGCCTCCCGGGCCCACACCCTCGACAGGATGGAGGAGCCGGTCCCTCTGATTCGGGGGACAGCTGGGGGCGCCAGGAGGACCCAGAGACCCCGTGGATACAGGGGAGGGCGGCTCATCAGATGAACTGGGGCAGCCGATGCCGCAGGGGCTCAGCGTCCTTCCAGGAAACGTCCGGGGCAGGGACCGGCCGCCATCCTTACCTGTGTGTCCTGCAGCTGTGACTCCAGAGCAGAGAAGTCCTTGGTGAGTTTGCTGGACTTGCTGTCGGACTGGGTGAGGAGACCGGTCACGTTGTCCAGCTCAACCTGCACGGGGACGGAAGAGACAAGGGACAGGGACTGTGACTGCTCTGGCCCCACCTCGGCTCTCAGGCCAAGGTGGACCTGAGCTGCTGTCGAAGGCACCCCTGCCCAGGTCCGGGTCCCAGCGGAGGCCTCACCTGCAGCTTGGTGACCTTGTCGGCCAGCTCCGTGCGCACTCGCTCTCCCTCGGTGAACTTCACCTGCAGCTCCTGCAGCTGGGCCTCCACTTTCTTCCGCTTATGCTCGGAGTCCCCTTTGCCCTGCAGCAGGACCTTCACCTCGTTGGCCAGCTCCCCTCGCTCGTTCTCCAGGGTCTGCTTCGCCTTCTCCAGGTTGGCTTTCACCTGGTGGGGACAAAGGCAAAGATGTGCCAAGGGGCGTCGGTGCCCCGGCGTGAGGCTGGTCTTCCTAACGGCACCGGGGGAACCACCAGGTCCAGAGACAGAACCTGCCGCCTCTGCAGCAAAGACACGGGCCAAGTTCAGGGGATGGCGTGCGGGCAAGAGGTGTGGGCTCAGAAAGCCAGGCCTGGTCCATCCTCGTTGCTCAGCTGGACGGGGTGTTTGGCACGTGCCCTCCCCTCTGAAACGATCCCTGCCAGCCTCCCTCACCAGGCAGAGGGGACGTTCAAGTGTGAGGTGTTTTCACGGCTCATCTACCACGACTTTGGTGACGTTATCATAAGATGAGGGAAATTATAACTGCTCAGAGTCAGGCTTCCAGTAAAGCCTCTTTGAAATTTGATCTTCCAGGTAATAACATAAACATCTTCTAAAAGATACAAGAGTGGCGTTTACAGACTCAACTGCACACGCCATTCTACTTTGCGCTGAGCTGGCTGCAGGGTCACAGACAAGTTCGAGGGGAGCTGTATGAACTTGAAGGCATGTCAGGTGAGAAAAACTGAAGGGCAGGGAAAGGCTCCCCCAGAAGGGAGGCCGGTGGACACGGCGTGCTTCTGAGAACAACACGCAGGCCTCAGAATATTCTCAGGCCGCCGGGAAGAGTGGCTTGGCACTGGGAGCCACAGCACTCAGAACGTGTCTAGAGAAACTGCCTGGCCCAGCCACCTGCCCAAGACTAGCGCGGTGAGCAGCCCAGGGCTTCCCACCAAGATCCAGCTGACCGCTGAAGGTGCTGCACAGAAAACCCTAAGGCTTCAGCACCAGGCCATTCCAATCCCTTGAGGCTTTCTGGCCTGATGGGATCCTGAACAAAATACCCATGATGCTAATTTTTGAACAACTTACTGACCCCTTATTGTTCACCTGTTCTATGCGCCGTCAGCCCCACCCGTCATGTATTTGCATGAGACAGACTATCGTTACACATGGGGAAACTGAGGCAAGCAGGCTCTTCTCTGCAGGCTCGGCCCTAGCGAGTGGCAGCAGGCCTCCAGGATGGCCTCCCTGGGCAGCACCCCGGCACCGCCTTCAGTCGCAGATTGGTCCCCACCAGCAGCCCGGCACCGCCCTCAGTCTCGGATTGGCCCCCGCCAGCAGCCCGGCACCGCCCTCAGTCTCGGATTGGCCCTCGCCAGCAGCCTGGCACCACCCACGCACTCGCTTCGTCTGCTCAAGCTGCTCAGCCAGCTCTTCCACAGCCTGCGAGTGCTTCTGCCTCATCTCCTGGATCTGCGCCTCGTGGGTCTTGGCCTCTTCCTCGAGGGTCTTCTTCAGAATGTTCACTTCCTGTTCGCGTTTGGACCTGGAGAGAAGCACCCTCAGGATGGAGGCCAGGCCTGGGCATGCCGCCCGGGGCTCTTTTTCCCTGGTTGCAGATATGCCGGCAAGGGGCAGCGGCCGCCCAGCCTTGCTGCCCAGGCGCCTCCTTCCTCGGCTGTGCACCCTCCAGCCCGGGCTCGCGGTCCTACTTTGTAGAGAAATCCGTGCCCTTTCAGCCTTAAAGCCCGCCCTAGCCTCACCCGAACTCCAAGCCAGATTTTTCAACACCCTAGGGAGGAGCTGCCGAGGGGGCATTATCCTCTCTGCCTTCTAGTGCCGCCCGCCCCCCTTCCCGGCCTCCCTCTCCCTGCCACCCGCCCCTGCCCCCAGTGACTCGGCTCCTTGGCCTCGTGGCAGACCTGAGCTCCTGCTGGGCTGCTGTGGAGTCCAGAGTGTCCTCCAGTTCCGTTTTCAGAGCCTCCAGCTCCTCCCCGAGGTCCCGCTTCTGCTTCTCAGCTTTATTCCTGGAAGCTCGCTCAGATTCCAGGTCTTCCTGGAGTTCAGAAATCTGTGATTCCAGCTCCCGAATCTTCTTCAGGGCCATGTTCTTCTGGGTGGCTTCCTCCTCCACTCTGCCAAAGAGACCACGGACATCAGGAGGAGGTCCCTTCTGCCTCGGGGAGCAGGGTCTGCAGAAGAGGCTTTGGAGAGGAGCAGCGGAAGCCGCTTCTGGAAGTCATAACCATGGCTCTTAGGCGCTCCTCTCCGCAAAAACAACATCGGGAGCTTCCAGCAGGTTTAGGAGCAAAACCACTTTGAGACCTAGAAAACCTCACAGAAGAATCACTTCATTTTCCAAACATAACTCAATGCTCCAAACATAAAAATAAATAAAGATTAAGTGTTAAAACGAAAACACTTGAAAAGGGAATAAAATGTTACAGCCCGTCATGACAGCAACTGAGTAAAAACACGAAGGTTGCCGTAGACAATCTGTGAGGGATAATCCCATGTCAGTGCAGGTTCCATGAATTGGAACAAATGTGCCACCCTGGCCTGGGACGTGACGGTGGGGGAGGCCATGGGAGGAGGGGCCTATGGGATTTCTGTGCACCTTCTGCTCAATTTTGTTGTGAATCTAAAACTGCTGTAAAACAAAGCTTTTTTTTTTTTTTTT